ATATATATATATATATATATATATATATATATATATACATATATATACACACATATATGTATATATATACATATTTGTATATATACATAAGAAAAAAGTTCTACTTTAAACTGTAACTTTAAATTGAAACGACGTACCAATCTCTCTCAGGTAGAAGGACTTGGTGTAAGCCTCCAGACGGGAGTAGCTGTGTATATAAACTGTCAGAGAAATGCGATGCTTTTCTTCTTTATACGGGCAGTTAGCATCTTGACAGTGAACTCCAGACCCGTCAGCCTCTGGCTCACAGGAAATTTCATCCATGTCACTAGAATCAACACAAACTGGGTGGTAAAATTCTTTAAAAGGTTAAATAATTTTTTTTAAAGAATACGAGAGCTTAAATATTTTCTGTTCTTACCGGTTTGCTTTGACCAGGAGCACAGCGGCGTGGGATCTGTGCTGCGTTTTTTTCCAGGTGCAGTGAAAGGAACCTTTGTAGTTTGGTGCCGTGCAGTGGATGTGACCTGGAGGTATTGAAACATTGTCAGTTTCCTCTTCGTGGTTTATTTTGATTTGTGAGCAGTTCACAAGTGTCTCAAAGGAGTATACTTTAGGGTTATTTAGGTTTTCATTTGCTTTTCTTATATTCATTAAATGTCTTACTTTGCATTTGTCTGAACACCAACCCTTTTCTCGCACTGATCTATTTTTTATCCTGTTACTGTTGTCAGATTTTGATAACCAGCCTTCTTTCACCATCTTTTATTTTATCCAACATCCCTTTCCTTCCATCATTCTTTTATCAGCCGTCTCATGTCTACTCATATGAAAGCCTCCTGCTTGGTTAAATAAAAACTAAATCTGCATCCCTGTCTTTTCCATCACTGTTTACCCTCCTTTGTTTACTTCTCTTGTCTCGTCTCGCCTCCTTCTCCTTAATCCTCGTCAAACATCCCCACCACCGTTCTTATCTCACCTTCTTCAGGGGATTTTTCCTCCAGTATGACGGTCCTGTTATCTGGATCTAGCTGGACCAGAATCACGGTGTGGTTGAGGTATTCTCCATTTGGACTGGAGTGACAAGTGTAATTTCCCCCATTCATCTCTTTGACCAGTACTGTGATATGGTTTCCCTGCAGAGCTGGTGAAAGCTCCGCACCTGAAACAATTACATTTCCTTAATTGTTAATCTTTATTACAGGCTGACCTTTTCATGGTGTCTTGTATTATATTTTACTACATTATACTGAGAGTACCAGTACAGGTACTATTAAAAACATGTGTGTGTTTAAACAGCAGCAAAAAACAAGTTTTATTACCATCTTTCTTCCAAAGCACAGGCTGGTTCTGATAAACTTCTCCACAGGACAGATGGACTTCCATTGTGTTACCATAAACATAAGGCACCCTCAGGACCACAACTAAGGACAAAATAAAAATAAGTAAATTTGGATAAATGCATGAGATTAAAATAGTAAATATTGAGATTAGGTAAGAAAAAATAGAGATAATAACCATTATCCATCAGTCTTTCAATGTTATAATCATCACTGGCAAAGCACAGACCAGAACACAGGATCACCAAGAACAATGAATACATCTGAAATAAATGATATAAAGTTACAGGGAAATCAGGTCAAGAGTACATAGAAATCATGAGTAAGATTAAAATGTGATTAAAAATGCAAATACTTAAGTACATACATGCATTATGATAAAAGCGTTAATTTTGGGGATTCTGGAATAAATAGGCTTTCAAATAAATGTAAAAACATTCCAAAAGAACTACCATATCAGTACCACTTTACAATAAGGCTCCCCTATAGATGGCTAATAAATAGTTTATAGATATGTTATTAATTCCTCTATAAACACTTTATAAATCATTAATAACTGCTTATTATGCATTAATTAAGGGTGACAGAGAGACAAAACTGTAGTTTCTTGCCCATTAGTGAGCCAGATCTGTTCACCTACATATTTCATCTAGAGTTGTTATATTAAACATTTCAGACTAAGTTACTACATTGTAATAAGTACATAATAAGTATTTGTAAACCTATTTCTTTAGCATATAATATTGTACTTTTTCACCGCATTGTAAGTATCAACATCTAATATTATATCCTAAAAAATAGGTTTACTAATGCTTATTGTGCTTACAAAGTAGTAACTTATTCTGAAATGTTTAATATAACAACTCTAGATGAAATATATAGGTGAACAGATTTGGCTCAATATTTGGCAAGAAACTGATCAGTTTTGTCTCTCTGTCACCCTTAATTAATGCATAATAAACAGTTATTAATAATTTATAAAGTGTTTATAGAGGAATTACGGTAATAACATATCTATAAACTATTTATTAGTCATCTATAAGAGGAGCCTTATTGTAAAGTGGTACCACAATATCTTCTTCTTTAGGCTGTTCCCTCTTTAAGGGTTGCCACCCCAAGTCATCTTTATTGTTAAAAGGACCTCAATAGAATTGCAAATCTCTATACTGTACTTTTTATGATTTTCATGAATTTAAAATAGTCTTATGAACTGACAACTACAAAGTTGAAAGTGGGAGTACAACTGAATTGCATTCAGGTATTTCAATGCATGAGCAAATTTTGTTTTACTCGCGTAAAATAAATACAGTATGAGAAAACAATAAAAACAAAAATAAAATAAAAAAAGCTGAATAGAGTTCATGTTACCTTTTGACTCCCAGACTTTGGTCCAAACTGATCACACTTGAATGCAGAGCAGTGAGAGGCTTTGTTGAGTGAGTGCTGTCTGTCTGAACTCGGCATGCAGTCGCACTATTTATCTATGACAGAAGCAGAAGGCAAAAAACCCCAAACCAATGTGTGTGTGTGTGTGTGTGTGTGTGTGTGTGTGTGTGTGTGTGTATGTGTGTGTGTGTGTGTGTGTGTGTGTGTGTGTGTGTGTGTGTGTGT